AAACTTGCTGATGGTGCATTCGGCTCCCGCATCCAGTTCATTGATAAAAACATTGACCAGAACTGGCCCTAGGATTGAGCCCTGAGGAACACTGCTGGTGACTGGTCGCCAGCCAGATGTAGCCCCATTCACTACAACCCTTTGAGCTCTGCCCTTCAGACAGTTCTTCACCCAGCGCACCGTGAACCCGCTCATCCCACAGTTGGACAACTTGTCCAGAAGGATGCTGTGAAGGACAGTATCAAAAGCCTTACTAAAATCCAAAAAACCTACATCTACTGCCTTCCCTTCATCCACTAGGCGGGCGACCTTATCATAGGAGGATGTCAAATTATGTGAACCCGTGTTGACTGTGCCTGATGATTGCATTGTTCTTTAAACACCTTTCAGTAGCACCCAGTATGATCTTCTCCATAATTTGTCCAGCAACTGGGGTTGGACTAACACCTCTGTAGTTCCCTGGGTCTTCCCTCACGGCCTTCTTGTAAACTGGAATAATGTTGGCTAGCTTCCAGTCAGCAGGGACCTCCCCAGCCCCCCAAGCCTTTGGGTAGATGATGGAGAGGGGCCCTGCCGTAACATCCGCTAGCTCCTTCAGTACTCTGGGATGAATCCCATCAGGCCCCATGGACTTGTGAACATTCAGCTGATACAGCTGGTCCCTTACGATTTTGGTGTCCACAAATGGAAAGTCACTGTTCCCGCACTCGTGGTCCTCTGACTCAGGGGGCCGGGCAGCAAAAGGTCCATCAGTATTATTAAAGATTGAGGCAAAAAGAACTATAGACTAGTTATGGATTTATTTTATGCTTTTAGATGATGTCTTTGTGTGTCCATTGGTGCTCTTGTCAGGTCTTGCCTGAAGTCCCTACAACTCTTGTTTAGAGAAGACTAATTACCTGGAAGCTACCAACTCCAGAAATCTGGCATTAGGCATTATTTCATTTTGTCTTTGAGGCCATAACATGATGTCTACACCGTGACAGTGGCCCCATACCATCCCTTTTCTGGGACAGCCATGTTCATGGTCTACATAGAGTAGACAAGGGCCTATACCATCTGCAGGAATTTGCGCCTTTTGAGCTGATGTAATAATTCAGAACTGTGATGAGAGCAGTGAGCTGAATCTTCTAGATTGTTCAGGACCGTGGAGGACTCACATAGTCAAGCTGCTTTGTCGCAAACGCAGTGGATTATCCTGCATATGCATTTCTTCCCACTTGTTCGCTGAGGTTTGCTTTGTCACAGCTCAGCTTTGGCCTATCCCTGGCTGTGCCCTCTTTCTGAAGGACTCTGTGCTGGTCTTTGCAGTGTAGGTCAAGGTCAGTACCTGGAGCGAGTGGATTTCTGCCTTGCCTTCCTGTTTTGTTTGACTGCAGTGGAACAGTCCTTCTAGTAAGACTTATCTTTGGATTACATTACTTAGCTAGTTTTAAGGCTTGCCGGGGCTTCTGTGCTGTCAGACTTGTAAAAAACATACAGGGACAGGGAATTCTAGATGGTTTCAGAGCCCTGGAGGAAAAAGCAGCTGTGTGTCAAGAGGTGATTTTTTTTTTTAAGATGGATTTGTAACAAAGATTCCTGTAGGCTCAGTCATTGGACACTGAGTTGTCTGTTAAGGCCTTTGGTCTTTTGTGCAGTAAAATGCAAGTTGTCTGGCAGGCTTGATTCCTAGGCCTTATAACAACTTTACTACATCTATTAAAGAAAATAATTTCCCTACTAATTTGTAATGCTTTGTCTTCTAAAATTAGTTACTTCACTTGTTTGGGGTCCCCCCGCTGCGTCCCCCCCAGCTCCTCATTGTGTGTTGGACACAGGATAATTTTACCAGGAGCAAGCTTTAAGGTGTGAACTTCAGTACCGTGTCAGATGCTCATAACCGCCTTTATACTTGCTTTTCACCTCTTCCCACTTAGCAGTTCGCTGTCTGGTGGGTAGGAGCATGCACACTCACAGTTACCACAGAGTAGCTACCGTACACTCGTATGCTCTTGCAGATCCACGAGTATTTCTAAGCTGAAATTTCTCTGCTCCGCTTGCTTTAGATTCCTCTCAAGCTGTTCAGCTCCCACCTGTTGGAATCTGGAGACGGGTTGGGGAAGAGAACCGCTTATCTGGAATTTTGTGTTCCCTGAAGATGGTTGCTTATGACACAATTCCCAGTGATTCCTGCCCACACACAAACATTGCCTCAATCCGTTGTTTTTCAGTTAAACTTAATTGGGATTCCTTAGTATTTTTCTAGTTTGCTAACAAACTAGCTTATTCTGGTGTTTAGTTTAGGAAGCGGGTAAGAATGACTGAGGCTTCAGGCCCAGCTGTAGGTGTCTGAGGCTCAAATACCAAGCTCTGGGACTTCCCCTCTAGCTTGGGATAGGAGCTGGTGACTCGGGAATGGGAATCTTGGCGAGGGTGTATTCAAGAGAACGAGCATTACAGATAGGTCATCTTCTCCCTTCTTTTCCTGCAGGTTTGGAAGAACGTCGGTCTCAGACACTGAGAAATCTGGACCTTTGACAGTGTACGACCTAAAGGAATATAAGGATTTGATAGTTGTAGCTTCCTTGCAATTAATTTTATGGTATTGGTACCTCTTGCTTTTTCTGTGGATTTAGATCAAGAAACACTATGAGCACAGTAAGTATTGTACTACTCAATGCAAACCTGATTCTTAAAACGTGTGCTTTATGGTACTTCTAGAAATGATTTTAAGAGTTTGTAGTAAACACATTGGAACATATAAGCAGATTCAAACGTCATGTACCTTCATGCTCTGTGAGACTTAAGATTTTCAGTCTGTCTAGGTGCTAGTATAGTTCAGAAATGCTTACGGTGCGAGCAAAAACCTTAGGTCAGACTGATTCCAGTGGTTGGCTGGAAGCGAACGTCTGACGTAATTGTGAACTAGTCTTCTCTCTTGCAAGCCGTCACGATACGTTTTTCCTTTGTGACCCAAAGAGTAGGAGATCTGGGGTGATGTCTTTTCCTTGCTGCGATGCATTCGGGTAGGAATGACCCATACCCCCATTCTTTGCGTATTACAGCCTTTCAGGGGAGTGTTTTGTGTCTCCTCGCGTGCCTTCATTGGTGCCGCCAAGATGAGGGCCACGTTAATGTTACTGCTAACGACAATGCTACGGCTCTGTCCCCTCTTAGGCTCAACGAAAGCGCCGTGGAGGAGCAGTTAATTCTAGGCGAGTTCGGAAACGAAACAGGCTGATGGCTTCTACCGCAGAAATGGCTTCAGAAGCAGAGCCAATAGAACTTGAAGAAAGTGGTAAGCTTTCTTTTTAACCTGGTAAGAACGTAAATTGCTTCTGGAGGGTTGGGGTCCCACTTACCGTGCATTTTTGCCAGTTTCTAGGCCCTTTACTGGGGAGGAAGGGAAACCTCTGATTTTAGAAAGCGTCTAGTATGGCATCGATGAACAACAAGCCCGCTGACAGCTGTTCTAGTTTGTTACTGAGGTGCGATACCTTCACCACGAGTGATAGAAGAGTTGTGTAAGAAAGGTACTCCAGTGCTGCTCAAGCATCTGGATGTCTAGTCTGATGAGCTGGGAGTTACTGCAGCTGCGACTACAGCTATGGCAAACTAAGTCTGGGAGCTCCTAAGCTTTTAAGAAGGTGATTAAAAGTTTGTCCCTAGTCGTGCCCCGTCCCTCAAGGGAACATTTACAGCATGGCACTGTAAAATTACTATTTCCTGTGTGATTCACGTTTTATTCTGGGTGATAAACATTCTCCTGTGTTAGATGAATCATCTGTTGCTGTGTACCTCCCACAAGCTGTTGTCGTACAACAAAATTGTATGAGGAGCTCAGTTGCTGTTCCTCTTGCATGGCAACTTGCAGAAGACAGGGGTGCTGATGCTCTACCTGGACTGTGGAGGGCAAAGCTTGAGTGAAATGTTGCATACCTTGCTGAAGAGAGAAGGGATAGGGCAAGGTTGACTCACACCTCAGCCTGTTACGTAGTGGCAGGCAGGCAATTTTACTTGTCTGCGACCTCTGACCTTGATTCTAACGTTGTGTTTTGAAGCTGGTGAAGAAGTAGTAGATCTCACGTGTGAATCTTCTGATCCTGTAGTCGTTGATCTAACTCACAATGATTCTGTTGTGGTAAGTAGTGAATGGCATGCTTATCTAAATCTTGTGGTCAAATTAGTTTTGTATTGTGCTCCCTGATAGAATCTGGCTTTAAGGGTAAGTTTTAAGTTCCAAGTTGACTTGTCAGTGCACGAAAGCCATGCGTTACAGATCAACACTGAAGCTCCTCTGCAGGTGCTGCTTAGCAAAACCCTTCCTGGGCACAGCAGTACAGCCTTGTTTTCTCAGACTGTTGTAAATCTGCATGGGTACTTTTCTTGAAAAATGGCTGATGAAATGTCCATACAAGAATTTAACCAGTTTAACCAGGCGAGTGGTGATCATATGCCTTTTCATTGTGTAGGCATGATGATAAATGCATTTCAAGTATGATACTCTCTAAGGATGTAGACCCCTCGTTCATAAATGTTAGTCTGGTATACCCGTCATAGCGCAGTCATGAATGTTTATGAAGAATGCTACTGATAACTACTAAGCTTGAGGAATCTGGAAGGCTGAATGCTAAGGCACTGAAAAATTCTATTGAAATGTGTATTTGACCTATATTTGAAGATCTGTGCAGTAAAAGTAAATGGATGTCATGAACGTGGCAGTAAAACTTAGGCTTAATCCTTACAAGATTTGTGTTTGGGTCATAGTTTACCAAGTCCTTAGATATTCAAAAACTCATCTTCTGGGCTTGCCTTCTGGCATCTAAATAAGTAGCCTGACTTAAAGTGTTAACACATGGCTCTGATTTACCACTTTAGACAGAGTTCACATTCAACCCCAAATGGACCTAAGAATGCATCAACATCTATGAGTATCGCTTGCAGATAGTTAGAGGGTAATCTAAAATAGCTTGTTGCTCCAGAACTTGGGGAGAATATATACCAGTCATGGGTAATGTAACATAAGGAGATGCAATTTAAAGTTGAAGCTATGGTAGACATGGCAAAGGTATAGGCCAATAATTTAAATAAAAAGTGAAGGAGATAACAGTAAGTCTTTGACTTCACAAATATGAAGTGTTGCAACATTGGTTTAAGGTTCTCCTGTCAGAGAGATGCCAAGCGCAACTGTAGCTGACCGTGGGACAAACTAGTTCAGTTTATTACTGAAGAAGTCCTAAAAAAAAATCCTAAAAAAAAAAAAAATCCACTTTTTATTTTCACTGCTATTTTTGAAGCTAGAATAGTATTCGATCCAGTCCACAGTGTAGTTTATAACATCAGTTTTGGGATGCCGCTGCCGCTGTGCGGAACCAGAAACAAGCAGCAGGAATAGCATGGGGTATCTCCTGCTGGGATTGTTCCTGAGCCTTTGCAAAGGAAAGGCCTGGAACTTTACGGCATAATCTGCGTTGCCCCAGCTCTAGTTCTGCCAAAGACAATCGCGGGTTTGGGTTTGGGGGACTTTTTTTTCTTCAGCAGCTGTTAATCTAATATGAAGTGTTCACGGCTACCACACCTGAATTTGCCTGTTTGGGGGAGAAAGAGGGAAAGAATCTCCTCCAGCCGAAATCAAATTAGGGTACTGAAACTGGGGAGCAGGGAGGAGGGTGTTCAGGTGGTTCCTAAGCTGCCTCCATTTCTAGCCCTTTGCAGCAGCGTGAGCAGAACCAGAAGCAACCGCTTACTTATTTTCAGAGCAGCAGCGAACTTACTACTACTTTTAATGTTCTTAATCAAAGTAACAGCGTGATACCCTACCGTTCTGAGCTTGTTTTGTTGTGAATTGCTTAGCTTACCTGGTGTTCGCATGTACCGCTGGGGGTGCACACCAAAGTCTAATTGTATTTTTCTTTTCTCTCCCTTCCCTTATATACTGATGCAAGATTGTTGAAGGTGAGTTGACGTTTTACAATTGATAATGGAATTGTCCTAAACTTAATTTTTTTTTTCTTTTCCAATGAGTTTGAGCAGCATGGATTGAAACTGCATTTACCAAAAGGCAAAGGACATCTGGCCAGTGTCTTAGAGAATGGATCCAGTCTGTGCTTGATACTTGCTACAAGCTCTGATAGCGACTATCTCAAATGAAATACATCAAAGCTGCTCAAAATATGTTTTCTTATTTTCCAAATACAGAAGTTCTGTAAGCCCAAAGTTGATAATAATTTTAATTAGCACTTTTAGCACTGGAATATCTGCTTTGAATAAGAAAATGTTGAAAGGTTTTTTTAGCCTGTATTCCAGTGAAGGAACTAAGGCAGAAAGTTATTTGTGGTCATAGTATTCACTTCCATTATCTAGTCTAACATGCCTCAAATTTAATACTGAATAATAATTTTAATTAGCACTTTTAGCACTGGAATATCTGCTTTGAATAAGAAAATGTTGAAAGGTTTTTTTAGCCTGTATTCCAGTGAAGGAACTAAGGCAGAAAGTTACAGACTATTTATAACCATGCATTTCAATGATAGTTCCAGGACTATGTATTTTATAATATATCTAACTTACCAAAATTAAATTACAGAGAATCAACGACAAAGAAGAAATCTCAGACTAAGAGGTCAGCGACAGTTGGACAACTGTATACTGATTAGTGATGATGAAGATGAAACAAGAGATAATGATGTGTATGTGACAGACAAAGTGTCTTTCTAAAGCCTAATTTCTGATATACAGTAGAAACTGATTTTTTCCAATCTTTTGGGTTCTGTTTGATTACTGTGCAAGAACTTCAGACCTAAAATATAATTACATTTCTAGAAGACAACTCATTCAAACAAAGAAACCCAAAAAAACTCAACACAAACTTTTATTCTGTTGTTCATGAAATTATTATCTAATGTATCTTACAGTATGGCTTGAGAGACGCTGAAATGTTTGCAACACATAAAAGACACAGCCAAACAGTCTGAAAATATAGTTCACATAATCACGCATTTTATAAGGAAGGAGTTCTTGGTATGAATGTGTGACTGGGCTGGGACATTGCTAAATTAGAATAGGGGATGTTTTAATTTCTGACAACCGCTTTCACTTCTAGAAAGGACAGCTAGGTGGTTTTGTTACAAAACTCTTTTATTTATGACCCGATGCCTGTTGGAGATTAATACTGCCATACGTGTACTGCACAGTGCTATAGACCGCTGTTACTTGTCGTAATAGAGCAGGGTGACTAATTGCATCTTCCCCCTAATGAAAACCAAGGCGCTGTTTCCTTTAGGTAAGGGAGACCCTAACTGCTCAGTAAATGCGACAAACTGAGAGAGTTAAAGGTACGCAGGGGTCTTCAGATGAAATGCGTCCTGGCTCGTCTGTGCAGCCGGATGATTACGTGACGTTTTGTGTCTCGGTAACCCTCAATGCACGGTGAAATTAACGGATGCATGTTCTTTCTGGTTTTGTTCTCTCTCCCACAAGGCCGTCTGGTACCGTTAGCTGCCCGATTTGCATGGATGGCTACTCAGAGGTAAGGATGCACACGTTGTCGTCGTGTCTGTCCTGTCGGAGGGAGAACGGGGCAGAGGGTGAGCTGCGCGAGTCGGTTGGGTTACGTGGGACGCCACAGACAGCTGGCCTGAAGTACAGACCTTGGTTTGAAGGTCAAGCTAGCTTGTAACTCAGTCATTTCTTGGTGGTGTACGTAGAGGGGGAAGCGCTTTCCAAGATGGCGCTGAAAGATCTTTGGGTTCCTCCTTGTTGTAGTAGTGACGTACTGGTTACAGATACTCCAAGTCCTATTGGCCTGGTGCCAACAGACCAGCAAAGTTGAATTCTTTACTCCAAATACCTGTTGGGGTTTCTTTTCTTCCAGATTGTGCAAAGTGGACGACTGATTGTGTCAACCAAATGCGGCCACGTCTTCTGCAGCCAGTGCCTCCGTGATTCCCTTAGGAATGCCAACTCTTGCCCAACCTGCAGGAAGAAACTCACTCACAGACAATATCATCCCATTTATATATGAGTACTTCTATTTCTCAGGACAGACTCAACTGGATTTTGGGGGAAAATGTCATGTTTTCAGTGCTCTGAAGACTTAAAGAGCAGCAGGTTGTGCACGCATCCAAATAAAACTGTTTTTTTTGGAGAATGACTTGTACATATATAGACAGCTTTTTTTATGGTCCAAGCTGCTTCTTGTTATGTCCCTGGTTATAACGTTAAACTGATGACTGTCTCTAAACTAGACCAGCAGCCTACACCAGAAGGGAAGCAGCTAATCCATTTCCTTCTACTTTTTTAATGCTTAAACAAGAGGGGTCTGAATATTTTGCTATTTCTTACTCTTTAAATTATTCCCACCGTCGCATCCAGGTACGGAATAGTTACCTTGCAACACAGAGGTGAACAAGTTGCCATTTCATTGCACTTTTGTTTTTATCCTGTAAGAAGCTCATGACTATATTGCTTTCTGCTATACCATCTTTGCCCAAGTAGAGTAAGTTCTGGAACGATGGGTCGTTTTCTCTTGAATCAATATTAAATTGACAACCAGGGTCATGCAATAAAATAACCTGCTGTTAACCAGCAATCAGGTTTTTTTAAGCAGAAGGCTGTGCAGACACATAGGCTGTTGTGATGGGTGAGTCCTTGCTGCTTCAATTAAGGCCTTGGCCTGCTTCTGCTGAAATACCCGATCCATCAGAACTACCCTCTGATCTGCAGTCAGATTTGACGCTTCGGCGGGATGAAGCATCCAGCAATTGCAGAAACCTTTTCTCACTTGGGGTCTGATTCTAGACCACATTTTTGGAGAGGAGAAGGGGTAAATGAGAAATATGAGCCAGCTGTCAAAGTTTGTGAAGCTGAAGTCCAGGACGAGGGAACAGCAGTCCTGAGCTAGGAAGCCAGGTAAGAAGCATGGTCCAGGGGTTAGGTGGAACATGTAATCTGGGGGATGCTCGCAGTGCCGCAATGTCTGGAGTGAAGGGTGAGATGGGTGGGGAGGATGGTCCTGGGGGCTGGAGCAGAGACCAATGCTATGGAGTAGGGACCAGTGCTGGAGCATCATGAGCCAGAAACTGGAACTACAGAGCAAACTGCAGAGATGTGGCTGCAGCCGAGCGGTGCGTGAGCAGCCAGGTGGCAAAGGGGAATCGTAAAGGGGAATCGCCAAGGGTAAGCGTTGGTGCATGTCAGATGGATCAGCTTAGCAGGGCCATAGCTGCTGTAAGGAGCTGTTGTGTTCTGGTTGCAGAGCTTAAACCTCGATCTGCCTGGGTTAGGTCTCACGGGGTGGTGACAGCTCTGGGGCAATGCTTACAGGTGATGCAATGCTGCTTACGAAGCTTTTGTTAGCTGTAGAAATGTATGTCCTTGCATCATGTCTGATACACACTTGGTGGCAGCGAGTGCTAATTTCATATGTTCTGTTTAAATCTGTTTTATTCTCTAGGTCAAGAGCATGAGATTGAGCCTTTGGGCTTGTGAGGACGTTTTAATATTTTATGTCTTTTTACCTCTCTTTTGCCTGATGATGTGAAACCATGCTTGGTCATTTGCGTGGTGCTCTGTTTCATCTGAAGACCAAATTCATAATAGTTTCTACAGCTGACTTAGGGCCTGCTAACAGTGAGATGTTGTAGGACTGCTTCATATTCTTTCTGACATCCTAAGTCCTCCTACAATTTCTCTTTGAGGGTTCTGGAAAGGTAAAAGGAACAGGAATATCTGGTCTGGGACTTCCCAGAGAAGATTGCCATCTGTACCAAGGAGAGTCTCCGGTGCTGTGTCCAGATGCAGTCCAAGAGTTCTTTCTCCTGACATGTCACTTCAGAGGGGAGTCCCACCCTTGCCAGTGGTGGAGGATGAATACAGATGTGATCTGATGTATTCTTCTGGTTTTGTTAGGAATGAGATGGAGGTCTCTAAGACCATTGCAAAAAGATATTGAATAGTTGCAACATCTTTCATTCAGTAAAGCCCTTGATTACACCAGCAACGTAAACCTGAAAGCCTTACTTCCCACTATAACTCTGCTACCCACATATTGTAGATGGATGTATTTTTATTTTTCATATTAGATGTTACCTTAAGGTTGTAGGCAAGGCAGTTAAAAGCAGATATATTATGAATGAAAATGTGAATGGGGAACCGCTTATTTCTAAACCTGCTTCCTTTCCCAAATCGCATGAACAAGACATTAGCATTAAAAAACAGAAAAGTCACAGGTTATGATATTGATTTAATATAGAGGTAACAGAGGTCAGGGGATTAAGGGCCTCAGAGGTCTGTCTATGCAAGCAATTGCAGACGTCCATTTTAAACATATTTCTATTATTTATATGGAAACTTTTTTCCCAGGGAGTGGACAAAATGCATTAACATCTAGTGAGGGATTCTCCTTGTTTCCTGGGGAAGGTGAAGGACCTCTGCTTCCTCTAGCAGTAGTTTGTCCCTCATTTCCTTTAGCAAGTGTTCATCCCTTTGATCCCTGCTCCAATACCCTCTGCCCTTCGCAATCCCTGGTGGCACACGTGGCGGCAGAGCGGAAGCAACCCCTGGCTCAGTGCCCTCCGCTCCTGCAGAGCATCTGAAAGTGCCAGGCTAAATATTCTCTCTGCCACAGAGATCTCAACTGAGGCAAGGTCCTTGCTGTGCTCCATGAGCTCACACTACTCCTGATGGCAGAGACATATAGCATAGGCACCTCGTGGCTCTGTGGGATGGGGTAGATGGAGCAGCATTACTTTTTTATGCAAACTCCTGTGTAGCTCTTTTTGCCTATCTTGATTTGCAGCATCATGACAAGTGGGCACTTTATAATTAGCGTGATTAAAAGTGCACACATTGCAGTGGAAGGCAGCGTGTAAATTAGGCATTTAAACTCTGCTGCAAGGAGGTGGTGTGCTACGGCTTCTTTCCTTTGCCATGAATTCCTCCATAAATCTCATTCCAATTCTTGCTCCGTGGAGGAAGGGTACGAAGCTGTGGCTATTTCAGTGACCAATGTTCCAACACCATTTCCCCAAATCATTTATTAATAGCCACAAAGATCATAGCTTATTTCTAACTAATTCAGCAATCAAAATTTTAGACATGGATCATGCATATATTTGTGCTTTCCTCCTCGCTGGAGTGGAGACAAATGAATTTTAAAAATAGCCTGGGGTGAATGTTTAAGTCATTCTTTCAACAAGGCTTTTTAAAAGCTTCTTTTCTAACCTGCCAAATTATAGGATGGTTATAATTTGTTTAAGTCTTTCAACATTTAAGAAAATGCCTGCTGCATATTGAAGCATTAGCACCCCTTAGCTGAGCAAATTGAGCGTGGGGCTGCGGGAGCAGCCAGGACTCCACTGGGGAAGAGAGCTGTCTGCTCAACACAAGGCCTCATGAATTACAAAGAGCTAATTAGAAGAAATGCTTGCAAAAGAGTGATTTTCCGACACTTCTGGCTAAAACATATTTGAAGTGCTTTTGTCATACCGAGGGCTCTCTGTCAGTAGAGGTAGTTTATTAGGTTTGCCATCCAATGTTCCTTTTTTTTTTTTCGCCTTCTCCTACCTCTTGCATTTGAAGGTAGAGAGCATTGCATGGAAAGCAGCACTGCTTGGCTGTGTGACTGTCACCATCACTCAGAAAGAAAGGGGACTTCAGGCTGGAGGTGCTTGGACCAATTTTTATTATTAGTTTTTATTTGACCAGCAAAAATGAGCCAGTTCCATAAACTTCTACAGCAGTCTGCAGGAGCTGCAAATGGTCCCCCAGAGGGACCATGGTCCCCCCAGAGGGGAGCGATTCGAGCGGTGCTGCAGGCTGGCGACTCAGGCAATGCTGCCTGGTTCCGAACAGCAATACCGTGAAGTCAGGCAGAGCCTTCATTGTGGAGCCTCCTCCCCTGCGAAAGTGCGGGGCTGCTGCTTGCCATGTGTTCGGGGACGCTGAGGGAAAAGGCTGGCGCCCTGTTTGCCGGCTCTGCTGCAAACCCACCGCTCCCTCTGGCAGCAATGGGGTTTCACAAGGCCAGAGCAGGGCAATATCTATTCATCTGAAGAGATGAATGACATAATTGTGTCAGGTGCACAGCAGCTCCTTGGAAATGAAAGGGAAGTAGGATGAGTTTCATATTAAAAAAATGGAAAGTAAAGCTGTGTATACTTTTATATATATTATACTCAAGTTTAGATTGGACATGAGGAAAAATTTCTTTACTGCAAGAGTGGTTAAACATTGGAACAGGCTGCCCAGGGAAGTGGTGGAGTCCCCATCCCTGGAGGTATTTAAAAGACGAGTAGATGAGGCGCTTAGGGACATGGTTTAGTGGGCATGGTGGTGTTGGGTCGACGGTTGGACTTGATGATCTTAGAGGTCTTTTCCAACCTTAATGATTCTATGATTCTTTTATACCTCAGCATTGCTACCTAGATATAGAGTAGGATTTTATTAGTTTTATTATTGTTTCATATCTGTTAGGATGCCTAGAAAAATCTTATTTTGACATTATTTTGAAAACAAATGCTTATGCATTTATATATCTACGCTATCCTATACAATGATTTTACAGCTGAACTTGCAACGCTTAGATATTCTGGACAGAAATGAGAGTATCAAGTCTAACCTCAGTCATGCCTCTGGACTTCCACATCTGAATTAGCAAATATCCACAAGCCAGCATCCTTAATATCTGAGAGATCCCCAGGGTAACGTGTTGTGTTTATAGGCTGGGAAATGCCTGCGGTCCTGGGCTTGTGTCCCGCATCCCTCGTTCCCCGCCATACGTATGCCCAGAGCCGTGGTTGGCCAGACCTGGACGGACACAGCGCAGTTCACTGGGACAGAAAACTCTGTGTGTCTGTTTAAGCTTAGATCCAACACTTAGGAAGAGTTTGGGGCTGTCGCTAGGGCAAGCCTGGCATTCGATAGCGCAGCTTTGGCTTGTTCCTGGACAGGTAGGGTTCCCAGGGCTGGAGCTCACCTCCCCAAACAGAGCTACGTTGCTCCTACCTCATGTGCCACAGCCGCATCACCCTGGACCCCGTGGGAGAGACCATCCAGCGCTGACCTGCCCCGTGTGGCTTGGGCAGCTGCGCCCTGCTGCCGGATTTCTTCTGGAAAAGGGTCTTGTCCCAGGTGGGAACACCTGGG